CAGGAAATACCGTACCGTTACATTTTTACTTTGGTATTATTCGGAGGCCACTTGTTTTCTAGAGGGATTTTTTTACCTAAGACAAAAAAAACACATTAATTAGAAAGAACATACTTTAATTAACTTACTGTCCAAATATGAAATGATTGCAATTGCAATTAGCGGTTTTTGAGGTCTGCCTCCCAGAAGGCAAGATTGAGTTTAATGCGTCACCGCCCCTAGCTGCCACACGAACTCCACCGAGTAGATACTGAGTAAATACTGCGCGCTGTAGCGGACAGCGGCTATGTTAGGCTGGGTTTCCTCGTTGCATTATGAATCTTTAAGTTAAACAACATGAGTGACAACACCTGAGATACAGGCGGTGACAGGTGATGCGCGCGCTCCGGCCATTGGTCAACGACCTGACCTTGGCCTACTTGGAGGGGATTTGGCGATGGTATGACTCATCTGGTATCATTCCATCCACAACGAAACTAAGAAAGTTCTACAAACATATTTATGATAACCCAACCTAACATAACCGCCGCAGCACGCTGTATAAGGGTGGCCTCCGGATAATATCAAAGTAGCATTAATACCGTACTTTTACTCTTGGCACAATGGGTTCGGGGCATTCCACTAATGTACTGTTGAAAATTGTATGAAATCATTGATTCATATTTAAAAGTATCTTTACAAACTAAACTAAATCTGTGTACAACTTGTAAACAAATCAAATATAAACAATAACAATAATCACATAATAATGACATCTATCTATCCATCTATCATCTACTAAATCTATCTATACTATTATAAAGAAGAGGTGGTGTTTGTGTGTTTGTATGAGATAAACTATAAGATACTGAACCGATTGGACTCAAATTGGACAAAATCAAGCTACCACTCCGAGGATTAGAACTACCCCCACCTTCGATATTGAACTAGTATCTGCTCCACGGGCTTTCAAAATTCTGAGGAGAGGGATTTTTAACTTATTTAATACGCAAGCAGGTTTTTCTATGACATTTACTCCTCCGAAACTACTAAACCGATTGGAATTTTTTGGTGTCATTTGGAAAGAGCGTAACGTGAAGTTGTGCAGAAAACTTTCTTTTTAGGGAAATAATTAGGGTGATGCCCTGGGGCCCTTTACAGGTTCATATTTCTCCATAAGATTCGTGGGAAACAGACATTGTTATGTAACTCCAGCTGTTGTCAGAAATTAAAAATGAGAAGAAGAACATATGTTAATTGTAAAAATTATGTAATTTACACAACTATGTGGTAGGTTTATTTATGCAATTGATTATTGAAATGAAGAAAAATTCTATAACCATAAGTTATAAAAATTATGTTATTTATATATTTTAATGTAAACAGTAGGGTAATTACAATGTAGGGCATTTTTGTAAAAATTTGATTGCTATTTGTTTAAAAATTCAATCTACTTAACAAGTGTTTGGATTAGGCAGTATGGACTTTAGCTACATCTTCCCGTTGCGAATCACGGGCACTGCAGCTAGTTCCGTTTATTCACTGATTGTAAATAAATTATAACGTAAAGATATAATTGAAAGTTGGTAGGAAGATTACTCTAAACAGGTCGCAATTTGTTTTCAGATAACGTATTATCTCGTCACATTATGGTATTTCGTAAGTGACGTTTTAGTACAATTTTAAAGAAACGTGTCCAATATCATTCAAAACAGTGATTTGGATTTGTTTGTCTAAAAATCTTTCAAAAAGTATAATCCGACGATAAAATAAATTAATACAAGAAATAGAATAGTTTTATCAACAGCAGAATATTAGTTTGGTTCTCTTCTGTGATTAACTACGTGAAATGAAAACAGTATTTAGGTTGGAAATTAAAGGACAATCGAGATCTCGCAACTTCGGGAAAGTGAACTGACCTGAGTGACCCGACACTTCAATAACTGGAATGGCCTGTTGATGTGAAAGAAAAATCTAAGAAATGCCAGATTAAGTCCATTCGTAGAAAACGTGCGAGGGGATTAACGGGACACCCCTGTATTCTGTTCCCTAATATTTCCTTTAAAGTTCCCTGTACTGACTGTTATGGGTTTGTTTATATTAAACAATCGGCCAAATACTTTGCACCAGAGGTGTCCACGATCCACGCCTACATTTTACAACATGCATTTCGTTCACCTTTTCCAGTAATAATTCGTGGTTCGTTCCTGATGTTTTAATAATGAGGCATATTGTGCTATTGTTCTAAATACATACGAGAGATATTCAAAAAGGCAAAAAGAAAGAAAAAAGTTTTGAGGTAATAGCAAGTCTATACTTAAGAAGAAAGTGTTATCATCATGCCAAATTTCAGCCTAATCCCGATGTGCCCAATGAATTGTTATTGAGTGATTGAACCCCAAACAAACACACAAACATTAATTTATTTGTAATATTAGTAAAGTGTAGCACTCTACTTCAACGTATGAATCTGGCCGTAACTTGAAATAAACACTTAGGCCAGTTACATTTTTAACATCCAAATGTAATATTATTTCGTCAAACAGCGTTGATCAGTTATTAAACGGAGGCAAATGGTACCAAAAGTCATTATCTTGCAAAAAAAAAACATTTTTTTTTCAAACAAAAATCAGGTTAACAAAAATAAAGGACTTTGGCTTTAACTTTTTTCAGGTTATAATCCTAAGTCAAATTTGTATCTAATCGTATAATGAAACTGTTTGATGCATAATAAAGGTTCAAATGAATCAGTAATATTATTTTAACCTATGTAGATACGATATACTGCACATTGTGAAAATTGTTTAGTCGAGGATATATTTACACACAAACATCATCATTATTTAAATATTTAATTGGCCAACACAAATGTTGTGATTATTGTTTTGAAACTGCTACTCATCCGATCATCAAGTTAAAGGTGTCGTTGGATAGGTCGTGACATGTAAATTTGCCATAAAACTAAACACATTTGAAACTCCATCAGGGCTCTGCCCCAGTGGCCTTCAGCCAATTGAAAGCGTCAATATACGTGATTCAATTTATTTCATATCACGGACGATTACTTAATATCAAACATTAGAAATGACAAAATAAATGTAAAAATAAACGGTATCAGCATTCTGAAACATACTTTCTCCCATAAGCTTGTTAACATCCTATATCATGGGAAAGCGGTGATAGTATATAGTTCAAAATCACAAAAGCTGAAATAACTTTTGGACCATAATTGTTACAGCAATGGGGTGTTGTACTATTTTTTAAAACATCATTTGTTTATGTTTATAATCCATACCGGGTCTCTTCTACATAGTATTCGTGGTCTAATCACGGAATACCGATAATTTCACCCGAATTACCTTTTGAATTCAAGTGAATACAATTTTCTTTGCGTCTTGCTTTCGCAATCACCATTTTAAAATGGCAAAAGACTATCCCTGACTATCGCCGGTTTAAATGTATAAAATGCATGCTTTTCACACGTATGTTGCGTGCGCACGTGGTGGTAGGTGCGCATAAAAACTTATATATATATATTTATACGCCTAATGAAAAAAAATTGTTTATTCACTGGCAATTAAGTAAAATAACTATTCTATTTTTGTTTTTGGTATACGTTTTTATCATTTCATATTAATACGCGAGGACTGTGTTTTGTGAACACTACTCCTCCCTTATTTGTGGAAAAATTTCAACGTTTAAGGTGCTGGTGTTAAAGGATTCGGACCAATTCGTAGTTTTGCTTTAAGGTTTTAGAATTTAAAAGATCCTACCCATAAGGGCGTGAGACCCTTTCAAATGTCGGGTTTTCACCATGTTAATAATTGTATTACCCATCAATCTTTCTTCCGAAAATAAACTAAAATGTCCAGAAATGCTATTTAAGAGTTAGGTACATTAACTTTCTCTAAATTAAATGAATCAAAGTACAATATATTTAATGCTACAGAATATAAATCCAACCGATTTATTTATTGATAAATCCAACCGTGAGGTGGTGGGTTGTCGAGGTGGCACGTTGTCGCCTATGAGCGAGGTGGCGCGTTGACGGCACCGAACACTGAGCGTACACGTCAACCCGCCACCTCGTAAAAGAGTGGTGGCGGGTTGACGGGGTGGCACGTTGTCGCCTACGTACGAGGTGGCGGGTTGCCGACATCGAACATGGAGCTTCACGACAACCCGCCACCTCTGATAAAAACTGGTGTTGGCGGGTTGTCGTGGTGGCATGTTGTCGTGGTGGCTCATTGACTTGAGTGTGTACGACAACCCGCCACCTCGGAAAATTGTGTGGTGGTGGGTTGTCGTGGTGGCCTGTTGTCGAGGTGGCGGGTTGACCTGTACGTACACGTCAACCCACCACCTCGGTTTTTTTGGGGTGGCGGGTTGACGCCTCTGACCAAAACACCGAGGTGGCGGTTTGACGTGGCGGCGCATTGACAGCGACCCTATCAAACATACATACATAACCTCCAAATTCCGGTAAACCCTCAAATTGGAAAACATTTTGTCATCGTTTTCCTAGTTTTTACACAGGGATAATTAATTGAACCAAAACATACTAATAATGATGGTGGGTATGCCACTTGCACATTATATAGTATAATATGGACAATGAGGGTCCCCACTTCCATTAATGGTGGCCCTAGTTTTGAGGTTATTTGCAAAACATAGCTGAAAATACATTTTTTATCAGTGTTTTTGAAGATGCTAGGGTAAAATATCAAATTTACAATACTTCTTTTGAGGGGAGGAAGATGGGAAGACAAATTTCTTACCATAAAAATAAGATTTATATTAATAAATAAACAATACGATATTCGATACGTTATTGGCTATAGGTGTAATACACCTGGTGTATCGATACGGGCATATCGATACACTCCCACGTATCGATAGAAAATATCGATATTTTGAGGTCCTTGTATCGATATCTGTATCGATACGCACAACACTAGGGAAGGGGCAGTATTCGGCGATTCATGATTCATTCGCGATACGTCATACGCATACGAGTCATACGCATACGTCACTTCAGTCTACCAGGAGTAGCCAAGAACTGTCATTTTTGCTGTTGCTGTCAATTCACCCAGAAATTTTAGTGTCAAATTTGGACTTTCTTTGTTTATTAGAACTGAGGTATGTGTGATTATTACTGTGTTATGTGTAATGTTTTCAAATCCAAAGCACTGTTAGAAAGTTTGCAATACCTGTACAATAATTACCTACTTTATTCGGCTACTTTTTCGTAGGAGTAAACTTAACTTAATCTTTATGTATAGGTAGGCTATCCTGTATATCGCAGGGCTTATTTCATTATATCACTTCATTGTATCTGACTTATTAGATTTTCAATGGGCATAAAATTGGTCACCCTTTACATTTATCTAAGGCTCTACATTTTTGCAAGCCTTATGATGTGGACATTCTTTCCCCTCACCCCTCACCACACATCGGTGAAAACAACAGCTATCAATGATGCTCCCTTCACTAAGTTATGTCTTCTTCAGCACCCTAATGCCAATGGTTAAGTTGTAACTTACTCACATGGTTAGTTGAAATTCCCTCCTAGGACTACCTATAGTTATCTTACTAATATTATAAATGTGTAAGTTTGTGTGTTTGTTTGAAGTTCAATCACGCATAAACCACTGGACGGATTGGGCTGAAATTTGGCATGATGATAGCTCACATTCCCGATTAACATAACTTATAGGCATATTCGTTACTTGTTACTTGTGGGTGTTCGCCTCCGCTGTCCTTAAGAAAGGGGGCTCGTCCAGATTTATTTCTTCACATCATCTTTAGTCATCAATAGCCTCAAAGAAATCTTTTATTTTGTATAGGGTCTTGTTGAGAAGAAGTCTTTAAGTTTATTTTTAAAGCCGTTTGTGTTTTGAATATTTTTTAATTGATCTGGGAGGTGGTTGAAAAATTTTAGTCCTATGTAGTTTGGATGGTTTTGAGATTTTTTAAGTCTATTGTTGGTAGGTTAAATTGTTGTTTTCTTCTTGTGTTGTGGTCATGTATGTCTTCTCTTCTATTGTTGTTTGATGTTAGGGAATGGATGATGGTTTCGTAGAGATATAGATGGATATGACTGTTAAAATTTTATTGTTGATAAAGTATGGTTTACAGTGTTCTTCAACTTGCAGATCATTAATTGCTCTTATAGACTTCTTCTGGACAGTTAGTATTTGGTCTAGGTAGATTTGCGGTGCCGCTCCCCAGGCTATAATACCAAATCTTATGTGGGAAGAAATTAGAGCGTGGTATGTTCAAGACCATGCACAAAATGATACAAAGCAAACCAATGCAGTTCATGCAAAATGCATGCACTATGCAAAAACAGCAAACAGGCTGTTCAGAGGAAAACTTACTTAACTATAATTACAGTGTCAAAAAACTCTTTTAATTTGAAAAAAGGATTTTCAATCAGCCAGTCTAATATTGCGGTTTGGAAGTTCTTTCTTTCCAGATTTCTCACATGACCAGGAAGGTGATTGAACAGTTTTATTCCTGAAACAGGGTATGACCTAGCTCTTTTATCAGTTCTGGACCTAGGAATGACAAGCTTAGCACTAAACCTAGTGCCATGATTGTGCACTGAACTGGTTACATGTAAATCATTCATGCTGTTCTTAATACTAACAAGGCATTGGAATATATACATATTTACAACTGTCAGAATTCTTTGTCTCTTAAACAAGGGCTTACTGTGTTCTTTATAGTGAGCATGACAGAGTATCCTTACTGCCTTCTTTTGCAGTATTTCAAGTAAGTATTTAAGTATTTCAGTCGCAGGATCTTTTCAACATTGGGTGTGTGGCCCCACAAAATTAACCCATAGGATATGTGAGGTTGGAAAAATGCAAAGAAGGACATTCTAAGGGTACTTTGTGGCAATTGGTCACTTAGACGTCTTAAAAGATGCACTACTCTACTTAGTTTAGTACAGACTTGGCTTATGTGGTCTTTCCAATTGAGACAGTGGTCAAGGGTTATACCAAGGAGTTTGACAGGCTCTTGGAAAGGAACAATCTGGGAATCACATAGGCTAAATGTTATGTACTGTGTTTTCTCATTATTGAGCACTAATTTATTGTCAACAAACCAATTTGAGGCTGACTCAAAAATCTTAACAGACAGCTCTGCTTGTTCACGGGTCGCTTTACATGATATAAGGGAAGTATCATCTGCATATAACATGTAATTACCTTAAAGTCTGGTATAGAGGTCATTGATTGTCACTAAGAATAACAGAGGTCCCATAATGGAACCTTGCGGAACCCCGTGTCTTACAGCTAATGGTTTGGATGTAATACCATTCCAACTTACAACCTGTTGGCGATCACTGAGGTAGGATTTGACCAATCTCAGAGCACTGCCTTCTAGGCCATATTTTCCCAATTTCAGGAGCAAAATTTCATGTGACACGCAATCGAAAAGCGCGAGAGAGGTCACAAAGTATTACGGAGGTAGATTTCTTAGACTCAAAAGCATCAACAATTAATTGTACAATAGAATCAACAGCCAATATAGTGGATTTGGCTTTCCTGAAGCCAAATTGACCAGGCACTAGAACGCTGTGTGCTTCAAGGTGGTCATACAATTGAGCAAACATAATAGCTTCAAACAGTTTAGAAAATACAGGAATCAACGATATTGGTTGATAACTTGCAACATTGTCACGGGACCCTTTTTTATAGACAGGCACAGTTCTAGAGACTTTTAATGGAGCAGGAAAAATACCTACTAAAAAGCATACATTAACCAAATGGGCTAGTATAGGTGCCAGTGCCCACACAATGTGTTTCAAAAGATTAGGTGTCATGCCATACACATCTTTACTGTTAGAGAGTTTAAAGCCCAAAACAGCATTAATAATGTCTTGGACCGATACATGTTTCCATTCAAAAGTAGGTGCACCATTAGGTATGCTTGACAGGATCACAGGAGAGGATTGCATTACATTTGGAATGGTTGACAAGATGGACTCAACAGACTCAACAAAGTACGAATTGAATTCATCAGCAGATGCAAAAGACGGATCAAGAATATCAGATTTTGTTTGAGGTCTATTTTGATTTATTAAATTCCAGGCCGCCTTACAGGGATTGGAAGCCCCTGTTATGTATGCAGCATTTGAGTTGATCTTTGCATCCCTCACATTCTTATGGTATTGTGTTCTGAGCAGCTTAAGCAAGTTAGACAGATCAGGTCTTACACTAACTAAGTCATTAACTAAAGTTATCATGTTCTTTAGCCTAGAGAGTTCAGGGGTATACCAGTCCTTAACAACAGGCAAACCATTATTTTTAGAAACCCCTGACTTGCCAACATGCACCTCTTCCAACATGCACCAATTATAAATATCTTGGAGTTGTGTTTGATTCAAAATTATCATGGGCAGATCACGTGTCATACTTAAACAAAAAGTTAAGAAAACTAATTTTTGCTTTTCGCAAACTGCACCATTTTCTTGAAATAGATGAAATTAAAAATGCATATTTTGCTTATGTACAGTCGCTGCTTGAGGGGGGGATAATTGCCTGGGGCTGTGCTTACAGCAATATTCTACAACCTCTTGTTGTAACACAAAAGGCAATCATAAAAGCGGCACTGGGCAAGGGTAGGCAATACTCGTCGGATGCTCATTTCACCGAAACGAATGTACTTGATTTAACGCAAATATACATCAGAACAGTTTCGATGTTTATTTTCAAACATCATGAGTCAACTCTTTGATCGTCCACAACATGACCATAATACTCGACATGCACTAGGCCAAGGCATACGCTTACCAAGATTTACAAAGACATTTTCTACAACAAATTGCTATTACATTGCACACATCATTTACTCTAACCTTCCACTAGACTTACGAGACTATGACAGACACTCAATTACAACTTACAAAAAACACATTGTTCACTGGCTAAAACTCATTGGGAGGGATGGAGCTAATAGATTATTAGTTTCCATATACAGACAATAGGTGACAGCTGATTCATGAGTCAACTCTTTGATCGTCCACAACATGACCATAATACTCGACATGCACTAGGCCAAGGCATACGCTTACCAAGATTTACAAAGACATTTTCTACAACAAATTGCTATTACATTGCACACATCATTTACTCTAACCTTCCACTAGACTTACGAGACTATGACAGACACTCAATTACAACTTACAAAAAACACATTGTTCACTGGCTAAAACTCATTGGGAGGGATGGAGCTAATAGATTATTAGTTTCCATATACAGACAATAGGTGACAGCTGATACAGCGTGTGTTTGTGTTTGCACGCGTGTCTGTGTGAGCGTGTGTGTGTGTGTGTGTGTGTGTGTGGGGGGGGGGGGAGGGGGGCGTTTTGGGGGGTTAATGGTAGGGGAAAGTCAACGAGTCAACCTGATATCATTTTATCTATGTTCCAGTGTGATTTGCCAAAATTCCGCTAGCGCTTTGTAATCATGCCACGATGCCAGTAATTACAAGTATTTTGTTTTGTTTCTTATTATGTATAAAACTTTCTTTTTCTTTCATATTAAAGTATAATAAAATGACTCACTCCCACGCACGGGTTCTCCCATGTGGGATTAATTTCGTATAGTTCAAGTTAGGCCTACTCAGTTATATTCTTATGGTAATCTGATATTATGTAAATACCCCCGCCGCAGCAAACCTGCAGACTAAGCGAATTTCAACTTGTCTGATTATATTTATACTAAAATATTTCTATAAATAAGACATAGGTTATTTATTTCCTATTTAAATAACATTAGATTTAACGAGTGCTTAGGTTTGCTGCTACGGGGAAGGTAAAAAGTGTTTTTTGACCATAAGTCAATAGTATAGGATGAAATAAATAAATTTGCATAATGTTATCAATATTTATCCATAAACAAGTAAAGTACAACAATTTTTCATTTTCTCCATAAGAATAACATGGGAATTTTAAATTACACTATTTTTGAATTTTCTCCGTGACAGTTAGGCATACAACAGCGCTTCAATATAATAAATTATTTCTTTTTTAAGCTCTACATAATGGTTTAGAAAGAAATTGCAAATTTTTTTGTTTTTAGGGTCAAAAATGGGAAAATCCCATTTTTACCCCATAAAACCCCCCA